CTAGACTCACTGATTCATTTGCAAATTTAACGACTAAAGAAAAGCCGAATAAATATCACCTTAGTATTTGTACTCTCTCCTAATAACGAAAAGAGAGGTAAATAACCAACTTAGGGTATGACAGTTTCTTTAGAAATTTTTGAAAAGTAAATTTGTTTATTAAAGTGCTCACGGAGAATTTGTAAGGTTGAGCGTGATGCTGCCCTTCAAACGTTCGCCATAAGTGGCAAAACCCAAAAAACCAGTTGCAGCGTACAAAACCGACACGAAAAGGGCTGATGTTGAAATAACCCCAAAAGGTCCTAGCATATCTTGCGGTTGCCTCATTCTATTTTCCATTGCTAATGCCTATAAAGTTGAAAAATGTTTTAAAAAGATTCTTAATGTTGTAATAAAAACTGGCCACTGCTTGTCCACATAGAGCGTAGCTCAAGCTTCCTGCAGCTAAAGTAGCACCTTCAATTGATGCAAAAGCAGGTAATGAAGATAGAGATTGGTGTGACATGAAGATCATTTGCTGAAAGAGATACCACTGCCGTCTTCCATCTTTGGAATAAAGCAACTGAGGAAGTATTTTTTTACCACATTAATATTGATAACAGCAGCTGTAACTAGTACGTTTCCAGCAAGACCGATCCATGATAATATGACCAGACTACGCACGGTAGCCAAAAGGATGAAAAAAGGCAGAATTCCAAAAAATAATAGATGACGCCGAATATCCAATGAGAAAGTGTAATCAATAACCTTAACAATAGCTCTTATACTTCTATGATCTATAAGAATTTTAGTTATACTAACCTCCTTTGAATGATCAACGACGAAGATATAGTATGCACTGCAGATTCCGACTTGAAGGCCCATTATGCATGCATTCACTGCCAACCTTATAAAGAAATAAAATTCCGGCAAACCGTTTAATCTTCGAGTATACTTAACAACTTCTTTGGCAAGCTCAAAATATTGGTTTATGCATAATATTGCGTTTTTTCAAGCAAAGTTTATACAGTCTAAGAACAACAGTTCAGAAAAACTGCTTTAAATGGTTATTTTGGAGCGTAATCACCAACAACTTCAACTGTTCCTCCCATTTTCTTAGGAAGGTCGACTTCACGAGCAAATTGGTCATGAATCTTGGATGCAATCCACACTTTGACACGGGTCACTAAGTGAGCCGAATGTTGCAATTTGTTCATCTGCGGCACTTTTGCAAAAAGCGATTAATGTGGCAGTCTTTAGGCGCTTGGTTGGTGAGTACAGTAGATTGCATCCCCCATTCAATGTTAAATGGCGCTCAATATGTGGACGTGCATTATCGTCGTGGAAAATGATATGATTTTTTTTGCGCGGTCGTTTCGTCTTGACTGCTGCGTGAAGACGTTTGAGCTGAGATAGACGCCGCCGGTTATCTCAATGCCGCCTGTCATTTTTGTTCGGCTGTTCTTCCACTGTTGACGCAAATCTCCGTCGTTCCGCCAATAACGAATGCCGTTCGAAGCGTTCTTTCAGTGCAGCTTCTTTCATGCACCATGCACACCATATAGCTTTCTCAGTGAACGTCTTTTAATAATCCTTTGGACGAGACA